TGATTTTATAGGTATTTTTTATAGGTATTTTAACAACTCTTAAGACACCAGTGCTGAGTTTTATCATCAGAGTAAAGAGAACAACAATTAGCATGCTAATGTGCACTTCCTTATTATAGAACAATAAATGGTTTATATATAAATAGAACAAGACCCCGAGATACTTGAACTCCTCCACTTGAGGCGAGGACTCTTCACCCACAAGGAGAGGGCAAGCCACAGGTGGATCGGTGCAGCGTCGGCAGTGATGTGGTCGCTGTATCGAACCGTTGTGGTGAAGAGGGAGCTGAGCCGAAAGGCAAAGCTCTTGATTTACTGTCAATCTACATTCCTTCCCTCACCTGTGGTCATGAGCTTTGGGTAATGACCGAAAGGACAAGATCGCGGATACAAGCGGCCGAAATGAGTTTCCTCCGCAGGGTGGCTGGGCGCTCCCTTGGAGATAGGGTGAGGAGCTTAGTCACACGGGAGGAGCTTGGAGTAGAACCGCTGCTTTTTCAAGTCGAGAGGAGCAGGTGAGGTAGCTCGGGTGTTTCTGGATGCCTCCTGGGTGCCTCCCTTGGGAGGTTTTTCGGGCATGTCCCACCGGGAAGAAGTCCAGACACACACACAGCTGGCCTGGGAACGTCTTGGAGTCCAACGAGGAGCTGGAGGAAGTGTCCAGGGTGTAGGAAGTCTGGGAGCTGTCTGGGCTTAGGCTGCAACCACCACAACAAGGCCCTGGATGAAGCGGAAGAAAAGGGATGGATAGATATATAAATAGATACAGACAGGATGCAGCAGACTTATTTTGACCTCAAGAGCTTCTTTGTACTGGGGCAAATATATAACACCTGAATGAATAAATGCAAGACAGATACGATAGATACGTGAATAGAATCGACAAGTCCATAAATATTGAAACTAATCGTGCAATGAAAGGCCAAGGTCCCATGGTAGAGACACAATTTATTTTGCCTGTCCCCATGTCAATTAACTAAATTTTATACACTCCATATTTTATATTTTACTTTTACAATTATTTTAATTTGTTTATTGCACGGAGGAATATCAGTCTGGACCCCACTGCCTCTGTTGCATCTTAAGCCAGTCAAACGTGACTGTCTAATCGGATTTTAGTTTATGCCATGGACAGACATGAAACGAATGTGCTCACTGGTCACCCGTCATTATGAACAAAACTGAATTTTGCTACGCTCATTGATTCTGCAGAAATACATGATTTTTTTTATTCCATTCTTTTTTCCCCGTAAGCAGCCATATTTGTTCCTGACATCCATCTGAACTCATGGAGATTTACCAGTTATGAGACTCACACTTTCATAAAGTTCTGTATTGGAGAAGTGTGTTTTCTGGACCTCGACACACATCATCACATCACATCCTTAGCTTTAGTTTTGTTCACTGACAATAATGCTTTTGATGTTTGTTTTTTTTTTTGTTTTTTTTTATGTTTTGATGTTTTTTTCTTCCTTGTATATAATCTAATGAACTAATAAATGTGTCAGCATGCTGTAGATCAGGTAATGAAGAGAACAATTGTATAGAAATCCATCATTTAACAATAGCATAATTTCCACCCACATTACTGCGTATTCAGTGAAAACAAAAGCTTCTTTGCTTTTGAATAATTACTTTCAGTGTTTCAATCCATTCTATTATAAAGATGCTAGACTAAACTCAAATAGTGTGAGTTAATATGACTTCAGAACATTAATCTCATGAGGTGAGTTAGATTTTAGACACTGTATCTTGTCATTTTGTGCAAAATAGGAAACAATTAAAGCGTTATTCCTCACTCACCTTATGCATTCAGAGCATCCTAATTATTCACTTAATTTTAAGTGTTTTTCAGAACTCTCATCGCTCAGAGCTATGAGATGCTATGAGATAACAACCACTACCATGCTATCTGTGCACTTTCTGATTCTCTGACAGTAAAAAGCTTTATAATTAGATGGAGACAGCACAAGAAAAACGTTTTTCTTTCTAAATCTTACAGACCTTTTTGGACTGAAACAAAAACAATTAAAGTAGCCAGAAAATTCACAAAAAATTACAAAAAAAAAAAGATTAATATTCTGAGTTTTAAGTGAATTCACCTTATGCATCTTATCCTTTCCAGTCGAGCACCTTAACACTTAGAATCAGCTCACAATACATTCCTGACGCATTAGTCACAAGTTTGCACTGCACACAAGTCTGGGAAAAAGAAAGCCTGCTCTTGCCTCCAGGGATGTCTCAAGAACCATATCTCAGAGAGACAAGCGACTTACAGCTACATGTGTGAACAGTGGTAATACACTCTCACCTCATAATGTGTGCGTGTGTGTGCGTGTTGTGTGTGTGTGTGCGAGAGAGACAGAGAGAGAGAGTCTGAGTGTGTTTGTGGTTGGGTGGAAAATGATTAAAGAGAAACACGGTGTCAAAGTGAATCTATATCAACACAGTGAACTCTGAGAAAGTGCTCAACCTGTTCCTCCTTGCGCAAAGGAGCAGTTATGGGTCTTACTAATGGGTTGAGGACCTTCCACGGCCTTGTCCATTTTCTCCTAGAGTAACTGCCTGTCTCCTGAAATCTCCTCCATGTTCTGGAAATTGTGCTAGGAGACACATTAAATCTCCTTGCCATGGGACGTCCAGATGTGTCACCCTGGAGAAATTGGACAATCTGTGCAACATCTGTAGGGCTAAGGAATGGCCTCTTACTCCCAGTAGTGATAATCAGTCTCGCCGAAGCAGCACTAGTGGAAAACCAGTCAAAAACAAGAGGGAGAAACTTGAAATGTATTGTTTTAGGGACTGTCTCATTGTTGCCACTCTAGTCCACCTGTTGTTCATTTCTATTAAAAGAAGTGCCATCCTTTTGTTCCTAAGTCATTATCCTGTCCATATTTGTATAGATAACCAACATATATTTTTATTTTTTCACATTGAGATCTGATGTGTTTTCAAAGTGTTCCTTCAGCTTTTTTGAGCAGTATATTAGCTAAACCATAAATGACATTACATTAAATTACATGTTATGTTGCACAGTAAGAGTCTAGTTAACCAGAAATACCATCAACATAAAAAAGCCCTTATTATACTATTTCCTGATCTATGTTAGAATGTTGTTTCCTCATCAAAAACATCTCTTTAGTTGTGCTTTATTTCTGCTTGTTTATTTAGGCTGAGTTATTCTGTCAAACTGAAAACACTTTGTGATGTCACGTGGTAAGACAGGACGCGCTCCTCTGTGTTTGTGACCACCTTGACTAGAATCATTTGGATAAATCAGCCGTGTTAGCTGTTAACTTGAAAACTACCACTTTATGATATCACAAGGTGGAACAGAGCATTTTGATGATCATGTGTGAATGAAACAAAATACATCTCTGGGCATGCTTTTGATAAGGTAATAAAGTTCTAGCAAGAGTAAATTTTGCATAATATAGGACAGTCTTTAAAAGAACCACATTGTAGTCATTAATTAAGCTACTTGAGAGATGCTCCGATGCAGACTAATGAAAGCAAGACAACACATTTGCACCCTCAGCCCTTCTGAACTCCACCTGTCACTCAGTCAGACACTAAACTGTTACTATTTTGGTAACACTCATCTTCATTTATGACACTTATATTGGTTTTCTTTTAGGCAGACAGCTTCGATGAGATGTATTTACCTTGACATATTTGGGCTGCCTCAAGTGGAGGAGTTCAAGTATCTCGGGGTCTTGTTCACGAGTGAGGGGAGGATGGAGCGTGAGATTGACAAGCGGATCGGTGCAGCGTCTGGAGTAATGTGGTCGCTGTATCAGACCGCTGTGGTGAAGAGGGAGCTGAATCCAAAGGCAAAGCTCTCGATTTGTCAGTCGATCTACATTCATCCCCTCATCTATGATCATGAGCTCTGGGTAATGACCGAAAGGACAAGACTGCAGATTCAAGTGGTCAGAATGAGTTTCCTCCACAGGGTGTCTGGGCGCTTCCTTAGAGATAGGGTGAGGAGGAGCTCGGAGTAGAGCCACTACTCTTCCACATTGACAGAAGCCAGTTGAAGTGGCTCAAGCATCTGTTCTGGACTCCTGGATGCCTCCACAGGGAATGTTCCAGGCCTGTGCCACCGGGAGGAGGCCTCGGGGAAGACCCAGGACATGTTGGATGGACCATGTCTCTTGACTGGTCTGGGAAACATCTTGGGCTCCCAAGAGGAACTGGAGGAAGTGTCTGGGGTGAGGTTAGTCTGGGTCTTTGCTTAGATTGCTGCCCCCACATCCGAGCAGAAGAAGATGGATGTATGTTTGGGGTGCTAATATGAGCCATACTCAGAACCGATCTTGGTGGTGTTGTGACGGACCTGGCAGATGGTTCTGACTGACCACCTCCTTCTGCCCGGTCGTCCTTAGAGATGACTGATCAGAGCTTGATCTAGACCACTGAGCTTTTGGTTTATGGGTGAACGCTTCAACCACTGAGCCCTTGCCTGCTCAACCCTGGTCCATGTGTCCAAAGTTTATTCTATATCTTTTGTTAATTCCATTTGCCAGTAGTGTTTGCAGGCAAAATGAGCATTTAAAGCATATTCAATTTGCATTAAAGGTTAATGCAATTTGTTCCGTAATATAAAGTATAGGCCAAAAGGTTTAGCATTTATAATGTATTTGTCCAATGGGTACACATCTGAGATAGGAATATCACAAAATTCAAATCTGAATGCCTTAAATACTGCCATCTTTTCATTGTATGTAGTCTTTTTTAAATACATTTCTTCATTCATTCACAATAGCATTCACATCTTGAACATGTCCCCGCTTTCAAAAAACTCTTCTTACTTGACTCTTCTTACCCTAAAAATAACACACTTTTATTGTGAAATACAAAAGAAAAAGAATACAGATGCATTAGCCATAGTTTAGTATTGAAGAGGTTCAAGTTTATGCTATGACAAATTATGAACATAGAAATTCAATTCACACAGCAGTGAATATTTTCAACAGTAATTTATTTCATTCCACTGTAATTGTGCTGGTTTTATCTCTAAGACAAAAGCATTTATAACTTTATACACAAAAAAGTAACTGGAAGTTAGTTTTTTTATGAGGCAAATATGCGAGAAAATTCCTCCTCTGGTTGAAATCTGTTATGAGTTTGCATGAATAGTATTGCACCAGTATTATTAAGAGTTGCCAATTGATACTTTGCAGCTGATATCATCAACATTCCCTGGGGGTGTGAAGCTAACTGGAAGCACTACTCTGTTACAAGGTCTGTTCCTCAAGTTAGACTTCATCTCAGTTTTATTTTAACATAATCTGACCAGAAAAGGCTGTACTGCCTGGAACTACAACACGTGAGCTGATTTGTGTTGTTAAACAAGTCTCGTACACATAAAATTAGAGTCACAAGCTATCGCTTTAGTCAAAAGTTTATCAGTCACTCATCTTTTTTTTTGTAAAATCAAACCTCTAAACAGGATCAGGAATGCTCACATTGATCACGGGCTCCTTAAAATGTTTAAATCCATGTTGTTTTTCTTGAGTTTCCAAATGATTTAAAAACTTTTTTGAGAGTGTTTGGTATTGTTTGTGTCACCATGGAAGCTGCTGAACCCCCAGTGCGATGTAGTGTATAATAGGCACAATATTAGCAGAAGTAATGTAACTGTAAAATACAAGTGTTATGATGAATAATACAGTAATGATAGAATGATTATGCAGTTATTATGCATCTTTAACACATCACTCTGATGTTCAAAGATGCAATATGTAACTCTTCTAGTGAGGGGTCCACCGCCTGCTTGTTTACAAAGAAATTTTATTGTTTAGGTAGAAATGTTTCGACCGTGAGGCATTAAACTAGGGGTGGGACTTCAGAAATCAGGCTTTAATCACATAACAATATTTGCCTTACTCATTTACAAATTTTCTTCCTGAAGCATGCCATTTGTTCGACTTTGGGCTCCTACGACCTCTTGTCTGTACTTGGACCAGGACTGTTTCCGCCAACAGCTCCAGCAGTTTCTGTGCTCGCTGTGACATGTTTTGCATTTAAATAGTATTGTAGGTTTGAGGTGCTTCTGTAATATGCAAACTTCTCTGCACAATGCCTTTGTCAGTACTTGCCTGCACAGTGGCTTTGTCATTGCATTCAACAGGTAGTTTTTTGAATACAAATTTACTGTGCATCAGACCCAGAGAGCTTTCATGCCCCATTGTTGTTGTAGTTGGAACTGTGTGTCAGTATAATTGATGTACCACGACATAGTGCACTGACAATTCATGTTAATTAATGTTCCACCCCTACATTAAACATTTCAATCTTCATTATAGGCATTTCTATTTCTCAAAAATGCCTCACAAACATACATTCTTTTTAAGTGGGAGGTTGCCTCGTCACAAATCTAACTTGTAGCTTGATCTTGTGGCACCTGTTTGTCTCTAGATAGAACATCCCAAGATAAGCAAAATAATTTCTATGGAAACAAGCAAAAACATCCAACAGAGTAGTTACATACTACCTTTAAAGAGGCAATATTATTGTAAATTTACTTTTTGGAGCTTCCTGCCATGTTATAATGTTGTTCCCTCAACAAAAAGTTGTTGCTGTCCAAAGCTCTGCCCACAAGCCTACATCACCCATGCTCCTACACGACAGTTCTCCATAAATATACAAAAGCATGATACAAAACAATACACTACAACTTCGCAAACCTAATGCAATGTGCAGTAGTTTCATGAGCAGGATGCATGCTGATTGAAATGTGATCATGCTCTGAAGGGGCAGTGACTTAACATGGGGAGCAAAGAGAGGGGTAACTCTGAATGAAATGAAAAACAAAACTAAAACTTATTATTAAAGATAATGTTTTCGGCATTTTCAAAACAATAAAAGATAACATGGTGATCTAAATATGTTATGTGTTAGCAGTTAATTCAATGAAATTATAATACTCCCTCTTTAAATAACCAATCACAGTTTACAAGTAAGTAATCCAGAATCCAGTAAAACGTCATTTCTTGTGTTCCTTCATCTCTGTGCAGGTCCCTCATGTGCTGATAGGGGTGAGTGTGATTCCGTGTGCATTGATGTAGGTGAGCAGGACTTGAGCGCGTTTCTCCAGTACTCCGATGATTTTGTCGATGCCCTGTCTCCCGCCCTGGCTCTCCCAGAACGTCTGGTCTATGAAGAGGGATTGAAGGAGCCGCTCCCTCAGCCTGCCATTCTGGAGCACTGCCACCGCAGCAGCTGGAAGTCTGTGTAGAGAAACAATAATAAAAGTGATGTAATTTTTGGGGGGCTGGGGATTTTTGCATTAACTAATGCATTCCCCCCTTAATGCAGTTTTTATTTTTTATTTTTTTTATTGTAAATGTCTGTTGCTCAGTGGCTTTTATTTTGAAGCAGTGGGCGGCAGTAGCTCAGTCGGTAGAGCGGTTGGTGGTTCGATTCCAGCTCTCATAATACAAACATCACAGGTTGAGCGGTCAGATCCACTGACCCACAGGTTGGCTGGTGTGATTCCAGCTCCCACAGATGAATGTTGTCGTTGTGTCTTTGGGCACTTAAACCACCTTGCCCACAGTGTCTGCGTACACTGGTGTGTGAATGGGTGAGTGGTTCCTTGTTGTAAAGCACTTTGAGTGCCTTGAACGTGGAAAAGCGCTATAGAAAAATGTGACCATTTACCATCGAGAGCAATCCTAGAATGCTGCTTGCTGCTGCACTCACAGTAAACAGTCGGCAAAGAAAAGAGAGAAAGAAAGTGGGATAAACAAACATGGAGAAGAGTAAGGAACATTTACATGGCCATTTTCATCATTTTAAAGTTCTTCCAGACTGCGCAGTTGACAGAGTCATAGTCATTTGTAAGACTGCCGTGCTGAACTGTCTTATCACCAGAGTTTCACGAATCTGAAATATCACCTAAATGCAACACACTCTGTTGATGTCATATGCACTTTACTTTTGAAATCAATTAATTAAGTATAATTCTAGGAATTTACAAGCTGCACTGAAATTCGTTCTCTTTTTGAGTGAGATTCTCCAAAGGAAGAAGTATAAACTTGGACTTTACAGACTAGTGCCCTGCTTCTGTATAAAGAAATGCTTTTGGCACAACAAATGTATGGCACTTTCATTTACATTTTACATTTTGAATAAAAGTGTGCTACACGCTACTTTTGAATTCAATATTGGATTTTGCGTATAAGATGTGATAAATCATGATTAATCTAAGGAACTCATGCAAATACTCCCTATTTTTTTGTAATTTTTGAATATTTAGATGTATTTAGTTGCTGTGTTAAAAGCACTTTTCCACTGATTTCAATCCATCGGTTTCAGATAGGGATGGGCAATACATTAGTCCCTGTGTTGTATCAGTCGATATCGTTTGATTTTGTTCATATCATCAGTATCGACTGGTATCGGATTTTTCTTTTTGAAGAGGCTCATGAGTAAAAATGTAAATAGAAAGGCATTATACGGGTTTAGGTTTTTATAAATCAATTTATATTAAGTATACCCCAGATAAATACTATATTTTGTTTTAACTTGTTCAAAAGTAAAAAGTTAAATATCGTTATCAAATTTCAGCCACTGGCCAGAAATCCATATTGGCCAATCCCTAATTTCAGCTTCCCATTTTATATTTTATTTAATATTTTGAGGACCTTTTACCCACGTTAAAAGATATCATTATGTTTTAAATTGTTAGTAAGAAAACAGCGAAATGTGAACCTAAATATAGAAATTTAAATAATTTCAGTGTACATCATTACTTGCAGTCTGTGTCCATTTGTGCTGACAAGGAAGAAGTTTTGTTTAATTAGGGTAAGGCCACTATTACAGTTATATTCACCAAATACAACACAGAAATCTGCATTATGACAGTTCAGGTCCATTTCTACCATAAAAAAAACAGCTGTAATTGAATATAAACTGATGCCATACTGTGGAACAGCCCAACTAAAACAATATCTTCTCCATGGAGACACAGTGCACTAGAGGTAGTATAGAATATATTTGCACTTTCCAAGGTTCAGTTTCAAGGTTGGTTTGCAATGTATTGTCCAAGGCTACAGTAAATGTCCAAAAGATTTTCCATCTCCTAAAATGCATTTATCTGTTTGGGTGATTTAGTGTTATTATGAGAAACACACGCACTCTAAAAGCAGCGGTTTCATGAACCATAACACAAATAGGATTTGGGTGCACTGCATCAGGCATGATGTGGACAGAACATTAACATTCAGAGGGAGATGGGGTTAAGCACGGAACATAGAACAAAGTATAGAACTTCTTTAACCTGAGCTAAATAAGAGTTTAGTGCTTCAATTGTTGAGTCTGCAGAGCCATGAGTCTCTCTCTGATTGGTTAATCCAACTGTCAATCATGTTCACCCATGACACACTTGTCTATGCAAAGTTTTGTTAAAGCATGCAGTTCTGGTTGGTCAGGTAAATTAAGGACTTTAACGGTTTATTTTCAAAATTCCTGTTGCAAACAGCGGATGCCACATTTGAAACTATGTGTATAAAGTATATTTTTCCATTATGCAGATATTATTTTAATTTAGAAAATGTGAAATCTGTATCCCGATGTGACAAAAGAATGTTTAAAAGAGAATTAAAAGCCACAAGAATACATAATGTGTTTTCAACTATAGACACAATTCATGGGTTTCAACAGCATTTTGACAACAGTGTGATTAAAAGATGTGTATCGTCCTCAGAGGGCAGAGGTCAGTGGCATCTATGAGTGTTTCTGTTCAAGTTGTCAAATAAAAAAATCCATTTATTACACACAATAAAATGCTCAAATCAGACAAAATGAGCATACCACTAGGTTAAGTAACTCAGAAATAATATGAGAGTTTTATTTTTTATTTTATTTTATTTTTATTTATTTTTTTGCTTTTGCTTTTGTTGACAGAGCTTGATGTACATGTTAGTAACATTAGTATAACAGAACACAGAGCGCAGATATAACTGCAAAGATTCAACGGTTGTGCATGAGCAGGTTCACACAAGTGGGCGATCAGTAAAGAGCATCTAAAGGAAAAATAACCCACAGGTTTTTATGTTTCGTTGCAGAGCATTGTCATTAAGTGGAACATGGAAAATCTGACCTCCAGTAGGCCATTTGTATTGAAATAAGATTTGAGTTGTAGAGGTTTGAATGGTTGATTGTTAGAGCATTCCGTTATTTAATTGTTACAGTTCAGGCCTTGTAATGATACTGTCTGATTAAAAATGGTCTGCAGTGATGCTATCACTGTATCAAACTGTTGTGGTGAAGAAGGAGCTGAGTCGAAAGGCAAAGCACTCAATTTACCGCTCCTGTCTACATTACTACCCTCACCTACAGTCATGATCTTTGGGTAATGACCGAAAACAGAAGATCGCGGATACAAGTGGTTGAAGTGAGTTTCCTATGCAGAGTTGCTGGGCTCCCTTAGAGAGAGGGTGAGGAGCTCAGTCACTGCTTGGAGATCAGAGTAGAGCAGCTACTTCTCCTCATCGAGAGAAGCAGCTGAAGTGGCTCAGGCCTCCCTGACGTGTTCCTGGTACATCCCACCAGGAGGAGGCCCCGGGGCGGAACTGAGGACACGTTGGAGAGACGATGTGTCTGAGCTGGACTGGGAATACCTCGGGACCCTCTTGGAAAAGCTAGAGGAAGTGTGCGTGGAAAGGGAAGTCTGGGAGTCTGGGAAATGGATGGATGTTTGAGATATCAGTCATGTACATTTATCTTTGATCTATGCCATACGCTGAATTTCATCTGAAGCTGCATCTTACATGATTGGCAGGCCCTAGTTACAGGCTAAACTAAAAAATAATAGACATTAAACAGGGCAAGTTACATGCACATTTAACTGACTGATTTCCATGGTTATATTTTAAAGATGCACCATACAACTCTTTTGTAGAGGAGGCTCCACCAACTTGTTGACTCCATATTATTGTAAAGATGTTATTGCTTTGCCTGGAATGATCTGCAGCATTTAAGTATTTAGCATTTATTTTACAGATATTATTATTGCATAATCATAATTATAAAAACACAGATTCTTCCTCTCAGTAGGCTCCCCTTGGCACAGATCTGACCTGTAACTGAACAGTACACCTTTATCACAAACGCACATAGGTTTTGAAGCCCAGATGCCCTTCACACAATTTATTTTATGCTTCTCTTATCAGATGCTTTGTGACAGTAACAGTTTGAGGAGTTCGCTGTGAATCTAAAGACGTATTTTCAGAGAAGAAAAACCCTAGACGTAAAAACTGACAGCTAAAATATGATCAGAGAAAACTGCAATCTGCGTCGACTCTTTGACTTCACAGTTGTTGGAGGTTAGCTTATCTAACTGCGAAGGTGCTTAGTGTCAGATGATTTCAATTTGATAAAGTCAAACACAGTAATGAAAATACCTATATCTACAAAGGATTCAAAAACGGCGAGGAATTACTGGCAGTCACAAAAGATAACTTAATAGAAGCTGAATGGCTCACAGATAAACATAAGCTTCAAAGTTCATTCAAATGCCACAACAGAAGCACGGATGGATGAGGATCACAGGTGGCCATGTTTGGAGCACGCACACTGTCTCCTTGGGTTTACTGATTTATTGATCACAACATGTAACGTCTCAGGTTGTTACCATGAGACTAAACTCAGATCTACTCGGCACGATTCAACCCAGCTGCGGAGCTTTTTTTTCCCCACATAACGAGCCTTTACTTTACTTTTCTGATCTCTCTTCCCTCTTGAGCCCAAGCGAGTCAAGCAGGAACTAAACGTGATGAGGGAGGCACAGATTCAGATTCAGCTTTATTAGTCCCTATTCTGTTACTAAACCTTTAAAGGAACAGTCTGGAGTTTTGGACATAGGACCTCATTTCCTAGTGAGCCAGAGTGTTGGAGATGTGTAGAGACACTTTTTTTAAATATTCCAAATAATGTTTAGTGGCAGGATAACTATGGCCATTGACATGCACTAGCCTATCACCAGCGACCTCTGCAAATACAAGGACTGGATGGAATATTTAAAGAAGTGTCTCCACACGTCTCCAACACTTTGACTAACTAAGAAATGAGGTCCTATGTCCAAAATTCCAAACTGTACATTTAAGTGTCTATTGATACCAATTTCAACCGATACCATAGTAGAGACTGAAAACAACATTTATTTCCTTAAAACAAAACTAAAGTGAAACTGATCCAAAAAACATTGTATAAATAAAACATTACAAAACTTTATGGATCAACTACAAGCAGTAAAGTCTTATTACATCAATTCATACGTCCAACTAGGATTACATCCACAGAGCATCAGCCTCTGATTGGAAGTGTAACTGTGGAGCAATTTCAGCTGACAACTGCTGACAGAACACCTCTGCTACACAGAGACTCTTATAACCACAGACATGAAGAGACTTTCTTAACAACTAAACATCCTGCAGAAAAAAGAGAGCACACTTCACTACAATGCAAGATAAAAGTAATGCTGGCAAAGTTTTTGCACTGTACTGAAAATAAGTGTCTAAAAGCATATATGCCTTTGCTTATATTATCAAACTATGGCTTTGTACGTTTCTTTGTTTTTCAATAAAAACGTGCAATAAATGGAAGAAAAACACATTTAATGCCATACTTCATACTACAGGGCAACATTCTAGGCAAAACATTAACATTTGATGAAGACCTGCAGATGCTGGGCTACCCACCAGAAAAGTTGCATAGTGCACCTCTAAAATGACTCTTGACCTCTTAAACTCACTCTGTGATGCCCTCCAGCAGTCTGAAGTCCAGGTTGTCTTCGTTGTGGTCAAAGAAGCCTGTGTTGTGGGTGAAGAGAAGGTGTCGTGGGTCTTCCTCAGTGTGGGTGAGATGTTCCAGCTCCATGTCCTCCAGCCTGCTGCACCCTGAGCCTCCACACTCATCCTGGAGACGAGGCCTGAAGCCACAGCACTGAGGGTCCAAGCGCCGGTGATTCTGACACACAAGCAAAACAAAAAGCTTTACATTTAGATATATTTATTTGAAACACGTACTGTAGTTTTCTTTAATATGTGTGAACATATTGAATCCTTTTTTCATCATGTAATATTTGTATATAGAAATAAAACCTTTTAGGTGAAACAATTACCAAAATTCCACATATAGGGTTGACAGTAGCTCAGCTGGTTGAGTGTTTGTCCACTCATCTGAAGGTTGGTGGTTCGAATCCTGCTTTCGACATAAATGCCACTGGTTGAGTGGTCAGATTCACTGACCCACAGGTTTGGAGGTGTTATTCTAGCTCTCACAAATGAATGCTGTCATTGCGTCCTTGGGCAAGACACTTAACCTACCTTGACCCCACTGTCTGTGTACTCGAGTGGGTGAGTGGTTTCTTGTTTTAAAGTGCTTTGAGTGCCTTGAAGATGAAAAAGCGCTATATAAAAATGTGACAATTTACCATATTTGTGTCTGTGTAAATCTGAAAATGAATAGAGCCAATAGAGCTTTCATTATCTTGCGTGTATTTTGTTGACATATTAGATTATACAATTGTTATTCATTTTTGAGATGGGATAGGTGAAAAACAACTATTTTCTGTGCACTCAATCCTCAAACTCAGTACAGGATTACTCAAACGTGCATGAATTAGATGATAGATCAAAGAGCATTGTTCCAACATGGTTAGGCTCATAAAAGTCCATTAGACATCCCCCTATAGAAGTACTGTATATCGCTCTTTGGGTGAATTTGTGCATTTCACTTTAATGCTATGAAACTAGTTCATAAGAAGACATGGGTTTCCTCATCCACTGTACAAGACATCAGAGCCTTAGTTATTTATTTGTTTACTCTCTACAGCTCAAATCTTACCATAGTACAGAAAAATGGTGAAAATCTCCCCATTGTTGCAAAGAAATTATACACACGATAAATTCTGAGCTCCAAAAACTATTGTTCCATAAATTGATATGGTAATTATTTTGACAGGCCAATCTGTGTCCTTGCTACAGAAAGTACAAACCCTTAGATTTGGTTTGATTAGGAAGGTAAGTGCTTCAGTGGGTCTGCTGTAACTGTAACTGTAACTGTAACTTCGGTGTTTTTCAGGATAGCAGTAAAAACGTAATTTGGTAGCAACAAAAGAAAAATCAGAGGTACTGAATCTGCATTAGGAAGTCTTTCATTGCAAAAGACACAACTTATACTAATACTAGTTGTGACCGCGTGGGACCTTAATCAGGGACAGCGGACAAATTATCCCTACTGGGACAATTACCTGTTCCTTAAAGAATAACGCAAAATCTTCTTTTCATAGCTTTTCACCATGCAGAGGACACATTATCCCTACTGGGACAATTAAATATTCCTTTTCAGAACTTTTCACCATTTTATATTTGTTTGCCCTTTTCATTCACCCTCTCAAAGTTGTATTTGTAGTGATTCATGCTTTAATCGCTTATTTTCAAGATGTCATACTGCAGAGCAAATCACAGCCACCGGCAAATGCCCGCTGCTCTCTTCTGCGTACTTCTTTCTTCAATTTTATTTTCTTAATCTGTGATATGTGTAGGATTCAGCAGCGTAATGTATTAATTTTAGAACAAATATGAAGTTTTTGTCTTTTTTTTAATTATTGTGATGACGTGTATCGTGACGTCAGCTTCTATTGGGCACCGCAATTTTCTCACACAGAAGACAGGGGACTTGTTTCTTTTATTAAGTCATTTTGCATGAGTATTGGGATTTAAAATGTGCAGATTATAACATAATGATCCACGCGTGTCATAGAATATAATTATATAGCAGACACAAACACAATAGGTCTTTAACCTTATATAATCAAGAAAAAACATATCAAAAAACAGATAATGAACAAGATTAAGGTTGCTATATGGAATGATATAAAAATACTAAGTAATAACATGATATAAAATGCAAACATACACTATATACACTACCAGTCAAAAGTTTTAGAACACTACACTTTTTAAATTTTTTTTACTGTTTTCTGTTGACCAAAATGTATTCTTATCACGCAGGTAAATTGGACTCAAATGCAACACAAGTACTCAGGCAAACAAAGTCTTATTTAAATAACAGAAAGTGTCCTATAACAGGGAATGTAATAATGGAAACTCAGACTGAAAATATAACAGAGGAATATATGATATAAAATGAGAACGGAAATATCCTCCAAGACTGGGAAATACACTAGTAAGAAATTAACTGGGAGTGAACTCAGGAACAGGGACAACAAACAAGGAAATACAGAATTGAAGAAGTCACAAACAGAACAGATCCAGGGAATACAGGGATTTCGGGGTTTCAGGTTTTCAGAGCTTGAATGTCTGTCTTAACAGGTCGACAATCTGGCAAAGACTGAGGGAGCAGAGGGAGTATATATAGACTGGGCCTGGGCTGATTACAGAATGAGGGGCAGCTGTAGGGAAAGGAGGGAGGTGGCAAAAGGAGGACCGGAACAGACTCAGAAATGGAACTGGACTGGGGAAAAAAGTAAACAAAAAGGCAGAACTGTGACAATTCTAAACTTTTGATTCATGAAAGTGTCCACCTTTGGCAAATATAACAGCTGAACACACTCATGGCGTTCTTTTTACAATAGAAATCAAATATTCTTCCAGAAAGTTCTTCCCAAGTCTGTTGCAGAAGTTCCCATAAATGTGTGTAGGTTGCTTGACTTTCACTCTTCTGTCCAGCTCATCCCAAAACCACCTCGATGGAGTTTAAGTCTGGAGACTGTGCCAGACACTCCTTGTTTTCAAGCTTTACCATCTTTTTCTTTTTTCCTGAGTTTTGGCAGAGCTTGGACTTGTGTTTTTGTTATCTTTTATCTTTTTTTTAACCTCTGGCTGTTCAGTATTTACCTTTGTACCATTTCAAGTGATTTATTGGACCTGCATGACTTGAATTGCAACAAATTAGAGTGTTCTAAAACTTTTGACTGGTAGTGCATAATATGTGTCCACAAGATTAAAATATTATGAAAGAGACAGCGAAAAAAGTCCATCATATCATTAATCACCGTGTTACTTAAAGGACCTACATTACGCAAAACTGACTAGTGAGCTTTAAGAGTTATAATGCTGTTACCTCCTCAAAAACATACCTGGAGTTGTGTTTGTTTGATTCACACATGTTTGAGTAACCCTTTATTATTAGTCTGTCTACAGTCTGTATTACCATATGACATAACAAGGAGGAAGAGTGTTTTCTGTTTGAGCAAACGCAGCCTAAATATGCAGGGTTGGTGTGTCAGACATGTGTGAATGAAACAAAACTCAACTCCAGGTATATTTACGATGAGGAAACATTATAACATAGATCAGAAAATAGTGTAATATGGGAACTTTGAGGCATGATATAGTGGAGGCTTCACATTGTGCCAGGAAGTAAAACTCAATGATGCCCGCTCAGATATGGTTTGTGTGACCAGAACGGGTAGAGCGGCTGGATTGCAGTGAGAAACCGAGAACAGATGATGGAGGCAGGTTTAGCGTGGTCCACAAAATTTTAAATTTCTTTTTCCAAAATTCCCAAAGTGCCAGTGCAGAAAACAAAGTGCGGTGCAAAAAGTGCAGGGAGGATATGGAGCAGCAGGTCTCTCCAGCAGCAGAACATCGAATGGTCTGATTAGGCGCCTTATATACCACTGGATAAAACCATTAAAACTCCAAGGGGTGTAAAATAACATTAGCTCTATAAAACTAAGTTAAAATCCTCCAATAAAATACCCATAGCCAAATAAACTATATAAAACCCAAATACAAAAATAATAAAACCCTAAAACTAATTTCGAATAAAACCCAACGTGAATATCCCAATTAAAAACGAGTGCTATTCCCCCCCGATATCCGCCGTGATGAGTTGGCCCGGAACTCTTAAAAGGTGTCTGGTTCCCCGGGGAATCTTTTCGCCAGACACCTGGACAGAAGACACGGGTAAGTAAAAGCACTAACAAATACCAAACATGCACGCACATACCACTCTCACACTCTAAAATACCCACATGGCACACACGCAAACACACACAAGACACAACTAATTTAAACACGGCACATATATTGCACACTAACCAATTGTAACTTTTGGTGTATCTCCGCAGACCGGCGGCCGCCAAACCCGGAAGTGCCCGTCCGACCGGCCCACGTGACACCCAACGATGTTTTCAATAAATATATATATTTTTTAAAACAATACAAATGTGTGCAATTCTTAATATGTTAATATGTGCAAATTAGCGTATCTTATAAGTGCCTCGTGCTATACTGTGCAATGTATATATATATAAAGTGCAAAGTGAATGAAAGTGCATGTGTAATTATGACGTAACGAACAGGCCGTTCGTTACAGTTTGTTAACTGTAGAACTGAAGAACCCATTGGTCACTATAAAGAAAGACTTTCTCCAGTGAGCTCATTACAGCAGCCTTTAAGCTGTATTGATTTTAGATTTTCTACAGCCCAGACAGAGATTGTAAGAGTAACACTGGCTATTTGTCTTTTCATTAAGGGTGGCTCAGAATTAGGCCTGCTGTGAGAATAAATTATGTTTTTACAAATAATGATTACAGATACACAAATTACAGCTTCCTAATAAAATCAAATAAATAACAAAAATGACTATCTTCATTTATTTCCACCACTTGCTTTGCCTCAAGAACCAAGATTACATAGGAATGCAAGAATCCAGCTGTAAATATTAGAACTGAAATATCAATTTAGTGGCTGATATGATATTTGGAAGCCGATATCCCAGAAAATTTGTTAGGATCGGCGCCAATATCTGATACCGGTATTGGGGTGACGTATCCCTAACTACATCCATATCAAAGCAAACATGAAACACAGAAAAGTTGGAAATTTTGTTCTGAATGATTAAAGGATATGCGAAAGGAAACATCGCCCCTTCCGCTATTTTAATCTCATTTTCTCAAATACGCAGCTGTGATGGAAAAGGCAAAAAACTTGGAGAAATGATTTGCTCTAAAATTGTGGTTCCACCAAAGATAATATTTGGTTTTCCAAGTTCCAACAGAAATACCAGACTATATCAGGCCAAAATCTAGATCTAAACATGGCCTAAAACAAGTGTATATCAGGTTTTAAATGTGACTAATCCATGGGAAATGTAGTTTTTTTTAAGTAGAACTAAACACTCAGTCAACATTCTAGTCCTTTTTTGGTAATTTCAGAGCAAACTTGATACATTTGCAGCTTTCTGTTCTGTGTGCTGCCTTCAGGGGTCACTCCAGTTTCAAGTACTGCATGACATAACACAAGACTGCCCTGATTACTGTTTTTTCACGCACAACACCAGAAAGTAGAATGCGTGGGCTGAATGAGTTAGCGTTTGTTTTGAGGGTAAGTGGACAGTTTTATCTGGCTTGTCACTTATGACGGTGTTGTTACCTTGTACTTTTCTGTTTCATAGTTGTTTTTGCTCAGTGCCTGTCATTAGTCATTGAGTTGACTTCTGCCCAACTAAGTCCTACAACAGAACATTCTAACATGACTTAAATCTCACAAGTCAATTTTGTGTAAGATAGGACTTTTAATGTTCTATGAGCCAGAGACGGGGATAGTCTTTATCAACAATGCTCAGCTAAAGTTCCAAACACCACTCAATCAGAATTTAAGTACCAACCAGGCCTAAACCAGGACTAAACTAGACTTTATAGGACTAAACCAGTACTAACTCAGAATTAAATGAGGTTGAAATACATATATCCTCAAAGTACCCTTTTGCTTTGTGAAAACAATTTTGAAGAAATATTTTTTTTTTCTTTATTAAATAATTCCATATCCAGTATATCTTGCTTCATATATCTTATGTATTCTGTGTGTATACAAAATGTAGAAAGCAGAAAAAATAAGACAAAAAGAATCAGATTTGAATAGGCCTTTCCTATAAGGTAGTGTATGAAACATAAGCCAGTGAGTAGCCAACCACTTCGAGTTTCGTCAAAAAAAAAAAAAAAAAAAAAAAATGTACAAGTAATATAAGCAATTTTTGCCCTATTTCCAGCTGCCATCATCGTAATAGCTTTCCACCATTTTTATCTTCGGTAAACAATTCCACAGAGACACATTATTATATTACTGTATAGGAGTGACCTCAAAACATTATACACTGATATGAATCCCCAAAGCACTGCTCTGTCTGGGACTGTGAAATATATTTTGGAGATATGAGGAGGGCTGCAAATAGAAGCAACACTATTTCCTCCCCACACAGTAAAGATCAACGCACAGGCCAACACACAATACCTCTGAGAGCCTTCAACCGACTTTGTTCGACTATGACGTCTCCATGTGAAGTCAAATATCTTGAGATATGTTTTGGTCGAACCTTTAAGAGATCGGTGTAGTCATGGTTGGAGCAGCTATCTCTTCTATAAATACTTCCAAATATAAAGCTTTGTGTGTATGTTGTAGACAGAATATTGACAGATGTCAGATGAGGAGGATATCTACAGACAATGTCACATGATGTATGTGCACGTTAACATGCTCGTGCACGTTTGAAAATGCAAAAGACACTTTTTAAAGCATACTGTACTACATTATATATGGCACACACAGGGCAAGCATACTCTGGGCTAAGAGTCTGAAATAAAAGTCTGATGATGATGATGATGGTTAAAACTAAATATCAGCCTATGCTGGAGATTTAATGCCGCTAGCCAATGCTAAAACTTCTAAATATCAGACACATATATTGCCCAACCGATATATCCATCTATTTCTAGAAACAACATTATGACATCAGTGTTTCCTGCAGCACTTTATAGTTAGGGAGGCCGCCTTGAAAACAATTGCCCCCCACCTTGACTACATCCCTGCGAATCCTCACAAAACTACATTTGTTGCGCCCTGGCTTTCACTTTCGACTTTCGCCAGCATGGTATCTCTGCCACCTCGCCCCCTGAACATCATCTTGACTAAACAATTTTATGCAGGAAACACTGGACATTGATCAGTAAATATCATAAAATGGGCCCTTTGGCATTGCATAGTCCCTTTACATTGTCTGTGTTTAAATTTTGTTCATTGGAAACACACATATTGAACAATCGATCGATTGATTTAATGCTTAATGACAGAAAAAGAACCAGACTTCCTCATCAAGGCTGCAGTACTGATAAGCGTTAAGTGTTTATAGTGATGGAAATGTATTTACATCTTTTGACTGTTGAAAAAATGTTTACAAAAAAAGGTACAGAAAGGTGGGCGGGAAAGGAGGACAGGTGAAAACAGACACAAACTCAAGCTTAAAGGACAACACAGGATTACTCAAACATGCATGAATCAATCGAAATACAAGTTTGAGTAAGATAATGAGAGAAGAGTTATAACACGATTAACAGTGACGCATCTACCAAAGTTGGGTGTATAAAGACTTCCAGTCAAATGAAGCTCACCAAGGCTGGCAGTTACAGGAGCGAAACATTAGCCAAGTGTAACGGACAAAATACCAAAAATAAAACACCAGGATCATGTAGAGCAGGTTTTGTTTTGTTTTGTTGAGATTTGTAGTTCAAAAACACATTTCAAAACCAAAATAACAAGGCTCACTGCAGTCATTTTAGAGACAGGGGTGACAATTTTGTAAAGTCAATTGGATCCAGAGTCGATGGAGCCGAAAGTGCCCCCATTCACACTTCCTATTTGGAACAAGGCGGCTGGCTGGTTAGTTATGTCCATCTAAAGAGTCTATGGGGTTACCTGTAATAGGAAGTCGAACATTGCCAGTCTGCTCCATTCGTGGTGATGGATGGAGGAACAGTCAGAGTCAGACTTTGGAGAGATGTTCTTGAGCCAGCACTTGTGCTTGAGCGAGCGCTGGTACTGTGCCCATGTGATGTGCACAGGGGAGGGAGGGGAGGACGCCCACTGCACCACCGGGCAAGGACTGTTATCTGAAAAGAGAGAAGGAGCGGAGGGAGGATTAGATCTGTGGTGAAAGGAAATGGAATTAAACGGAAGAATTTGCTGGATCGGATATCGACTTCCAAATCAGTTTCCTTGACATCTTAGTTTGGTACATAAATTCATGTAATAAGATCATTTATTGGTCATAATTTGCCTAGAAAGTCTCATAATGCTGGAATGTTTCTTTACACAAAGCTGTTCTGTGGATTACTTGAGAGATAAATAACAGTTATGTAACATTTGGATCAGTTTTCTCTTATTTTAATTTTGAATCAAGAAAAAAAATGCTGTTTTTAGTCTTTGCTCTGATATTGCTTGATCGGGAATCGGCAGATACTTCAAGCTATAGTATCGAAATTCGGTATCGGAACTGAAAGATGGATCCCTAGAATTAAATAGGCCTGCCACTATCGCAAATTTTGAAGTGCGATGTATTGTTGAAGAAATGATAATATTGAAAATATTGAAAATTTATACCACTGACAATGTAATCCTAAAGCTGGACCGCCTTCAAAAAGGATTCTAAAGCTACAATATTGTTAAAAAAAACTCAAGCTGCAATAAATAAATAGCAGAATGAAACACTTCAGTGCTTAATTTGCATCTGCAGAAGTTATTGATTTAACCTTTTACAGCTTAAATCTTATGGTATAGCCAGAAAATAACCTAAAAAACAAACCCCCCAAAGGAACGTGGTGATGCAGAAACACATACTTCAGACTATTTCAGTAAAAACACAGATTATTTTGTTTGTGGAAAGCGTGCAGATGTAAGCCCTTTGTGCATTAGTGGAAAAGAAAGATGTCTGTGTTTTTATCTGAACTGGATTTAACAAAAGTTTGATTTCTGAACATCCTTTTTTCTCTGGGGGCCACATTATCGCTCCTGACAGTGGTGGGGATCCAGGGTCAGGTTGGCTGTATAACAGAATTGTACGATCCTGCCGACTCACATAATATGCTTTGAAAACCGCCACACTTTCTGTACAGACCAGACAAACTGCATAGTCCTTACACTGAATAATCGGCGGTCCAGTGTTCTTTGAAAACTCGGCACTCTGTCAAGTTTTTACTGTAACTGTTACTGTAACACTTGCCATTTTGTTGTCCTTAACTGCACTACAGAACTCTGCGCGTGCGTCAACTGTCACTGTTTGATCTCGAGTTTGTCAGGTGACAAAAATTTGGCGGCAAATGTAAATACGTCATATAATTATTTAACTATAAATATAAATACTTCATATAACTAAAAAAAAAAATATTGAAAAAATCAACAAAATACACGATGCAGACGTGTTATTATTTGCCAAAAATCTTTTTAAAAATAGGCCATGACAACTTTTGGGGATTGCCTCATAGAGCCAGTTCAAGTGGTGGGGGGCAGAGGGGCTGGGGGGGCGGTCAAAGGGGCGTGGAGGGCCGGAGTTGGCCCGCGAGCCTTAGTTTGATGACCCCTGATCTAGGTAAATGTGAGGTCTATGTTATATTGTTTTTCTTTTTCTCATCAAAAACATATATGGAGTTTTTTGTGTTTTGTTTCATTCACACGTTTAACGCTCAAACCCTGCATGGAGTTCTCTCAAACAGAAAACACTCTGTTCCACCTTGTGATGTCATGTGGTAATCCAGTGGTAATACACAGTGCCACCATGTTTTTAAATCCCATACACCTTCACTGGAATCATACTAATACTTTCAGCCTTGAAATTGCCCTCGAATTGCCAATCTCTACTGAACAAAAGGTAAAAGGTAAAACCTGTTAAACTTCAAAACCACAACAATGCAGATGTGTGAATGAAACACAACTTTAGGTATTATATAGATTTAAGGGACAGTCCGGAATTTTGGACATAGGACCTCATTTCCTAGTGAGCCAGAGTGTTGGAGACGTGTGGAGACACTTTTTTAACTATTCCATCCAGTCCTTGTATTTGCAGAGGTCGCTGGTGCTAGGATAGTGCATGTCAATGGCCATAGTTATCCTGCCACTATAAACAGTCCACAAACACTCCACAAAACACCCAAAGAAAATCTATTATAACGCCAGACCGTCGATGTAAATGTCTGTGTTGATATAATAATTTTAGAAGTAAAACCAACTTTGCATTTGAAGGATTTATGTCTGAGCAGCAGCAGTGAGTTGTACTTCCTGATAGAAAACTTTGCAGCAGAGGATTGATATATGAGCAAATAGTCCCTCAACATGCGACGATTCATGAGATGCAAGGTTAGTTTTATTTCAAACATTATTCTATCGACATTCATATCGACAGTCTGGTGTAATAATAGTTTTGTTTTAGGCTGTTTTGTTTTGTGGAGTGGGTAAGGCTGTTTTTAGTGGCAGGTTAACTATGGTCATTGACATGCACTAGCCTAGCACTAGTGACCTCTGCAAATACAAGGACTGGATGGAATATTTTAAAAAAGTGTCTCGACACGTCTCCAATGCTCTGGCTCACTAGGAAATGAGGCTAAAATTCCGAACTGTCCCTTTAAATCTACAAGAATCTATTTTGTGTGTTCATTAACATATCCCTTCATGTGATTTCAGCGACGCAGGATAGACCCATATGGAAATCTTCAACCCCAGTATTACATTCAATATCTCAACATCATATTATTGGCTCCCAGAAAGGACAGGACCACCATGCTTCAGACGCCTGCCACTTCTGGAAAGGCGACCAATAGAAAGTTTGATAACAAGATGTACATGTTCAGTGGAAACACATTATACTGTTGGCTCTCATCAGATCAATACTTTTCACTGTTCATTATTATCGTGTGCTACTGGAATACACACTCAATACTTCACTTAAGAAGCTCTTATATGTGTCTAAGATAGCATTCTTTTTTTTTCCTTATTGATTATTGTTGATCATTGTCTAAGAGTCCTATTGAGCCCATGTGCATGAAAAACATAAACTGGAAGCTGTAACATACTTATTTTCAGTTAACTATTCTGAGAAAGAGAAATCTGAAAAATCAGGAACAGCTTGTCCTTCAGACTCACAAACTTAAAACTTAACTTCATTAAATTTGGACTCTCCTTTATAAAAAGTGTTTAAAGGTCTTCTATTAGACAAAATTGACTCTAGTGAGCTTTAAGTCATGTTAGAATGTTGTTACTTCATCAAAAATGTGCATGGAGTTGTCTTTTGTTTGTAATGTAATGTAAAACCATTATAAATATTCACGACAGGTACTAGCCCACCAATCTAAATAAAAAATTAGAAGCATGAAACAACAAAGAAGACATACTGTGCTTGTGTCTGCCATATAGTTATTATCTCTGACACCCGTGGATCATATAATTTGCACATTTTAAATCGCAATATTCATCTAAAAGTCATCACACCAAAGAAGCATAAAGTTGCTGCAGATCACACTAGCAAGTAGAAATAACTCTGCAAGATGCTGAATCCAGTTTGTATCTCCAATTAAGAGAATAAATCTGTAGAAGAAGTAAAGAGCAGTGGGTGTGTACTGTCCATCCATTTTCTTCCACTTATCTGGGGCCAGGTCTCAGAGGCAGCAGTCTAAGCAGGGCCTCCCAGACTTCCTTGACCCCGAACACTTCCTCCAGCTCCTACAGGGGACCCCAAAGGCCAGTCGAGAGACATAGTCCCTCCAGTGTGTCCTGGGTCTTTACCGGGACCTCCGGAACACCTCCCCAGGGAGGCACCCAGGAGACATCCGGATCAGATGCCAGAACCCCCTTAGGTGGCTCCTCTAGACGTGGAGGAGCACCGGCGCTACTCCGAACTCCTCCCATGTGACTGAGCTCCTCACTCTATCTCTAAAGGAACACCCAGCCACCCCTTGGAGGAAACTAATTTTGGCCACTTGTATCCGTGATCTCATCCTTTCAGTCATTACCCAGAGCACATGACCATAGGCGAGGAACGTAGATTGAGCAGTAAATCAAGAGCATTGCCTTTCTGCTCAACTCCATCTTCACCACAATGGTCCGATACCACATCACTGCCGATGCTGTACCGTAGCGTGAGATTGACAGGCGTATCTGTCAATCTCACGCTCCATCCTCCCCTCACTCGTGAACAAGACCCTGAGATACTTGAACTCCTCCACTTGAGGCAGGGACTCCTCACCTACCTGCAGAGGGCAAGCCACCTTTTTCCGGTCGAGGATCATGGCCTTGGATTTGGAGGAGTTTATGAGGGTTTATTCTCAATATGCCGTCTTGAAAATTAAAGATTGCTCAAACATGCACAAATCACTCCAAAATCAAGTTCAGATGAGAAATGATGAGAGGAAACAACTATAACACGGTTAAAAGCTCTGAAAAATATTTTTTTGCAGAATAGGTTGACGTCAAACTGAACCAGTCAGAGCGTGTTTACTACAGTAATGAAATCTCTCCAAAACTGAGTCACCATCTCCGCTGCTTTGTCTGTAAGTCTTCTGCTTGTGCCCACCCACTGTGTCCTCCTGTGCTTTCTGAGGCCAGGGCGGACCAAGCCTAGCCACATCAGAACCAAAAGACAAACCACACGGCTGACCGGCAATGACCCTTTTAAGATGATTATATGACTGGTTTTTGCGATGAAATTTGACTGGAATATTTCGAAGAATGAATATAAGTTGGGAAAGCAGTAATCTTGTGTTAAATGTCAGAAATAAATGAATGTGTGTTTGCCATCTGTCTAAGTGAGTGTGGGTCGAAGAAAATGACTTTTACGGTTGTATTTCCTGAAACTTTCTCTAGTAATTTTGCATTTACATTGCAGAGTTTCAAATGAAATCTTGTTCAGTGTTGACTGTTTGATAATTGACCTGATGTAAAAGGTATTTATTTTGAAATTATTATAAAAGGGATTCATTTATGAAGTTTTAAGAAGAAAACAAATGAGGTCTCACAGAACCAGGACTAAACTAGGACTAAACCAGGACTAAACCATGAATAAACCAGGACTTAACCAGAAATGAACTAGGCTCAACCAGGACCAAACTATTTCTGGACAATGACTGAAGCAGGACTAAACTAGGACTAAAGCAGGGCTACATCATGACTGAACCAGAACTGAACCAGAACTAAACCAGGACTGAACCACAAATTAACTAGGACTCAACCAGGATTAAACCATTACTGAAGCATGACTGAGGCAAAACTAAACTTGGACTAAACTAGAACTAAAATGGACTAAAACATGACTAAACCATAACTGAACCAGGACTAAATTAGGAATAAACCAGGAGTAAACCAGGACTGAACCATGACTAAACCTGGACTAAACTATGGCTGAACCAGGACTAAACTAAAACTAAACCAGGATTAGACCATGACTAAACCTGGATTAACCATGACTGAACCAGAACTAAACCAAGACTAAATCAGGATTTAACCAGAACTAAACCACGATTAAACCAGGACCAAACCATTACTGGACTTAACCAGGACTAAATCATTACTGAGTCATGACTGAACCAGGACCAATTGAGGACTGAACCAGGACTAAGCAAAGACTATAATCATGGCTGAACCAGGGTTTCATCATGTCTAATTTAACTCTAAAAACCAGGTATACAAAAGTAAAAAGCGGGTCTAAACCAGATCTTAATGACAGACTTCTGTACAGTATTGAACTAAATCTGTACAGTTCTGTGTGCACAAGAAGAACCATCTAACCATGAGTGTGTACAGGGGCACTATGTCACTTTTCCCATGGAGGGTCAGCCACCTGCTTGTTTAAACTGGAGATATTATTGCTTTCCCGGCATGTTCTACATCAGACATGTCAGACTCAGGCCCAGGGGCCAAATTTGGCCTGCAGTAGAATTATATTTGGCCCATGAGCTCATATCAAATATGTATTAGAACTGCCCGCTGGCTGCTGCTCCAGTATGACACATGCACCGCTAATACTACAACTACTAATAATAATACTACTTTGATGAATTTGTATCTAAGAAGAGATGCCAAGTATTTGTATCTGCTTTAGACCCATGTGCATCAGAGTAAATCACAGTTTAGCAAACTGTGCTTAGATGAATGTTTTCTTTATGATTTTTGACTGTTCATAGTTGAAAGATTGGATTTTCACTGAAGCAAGTTGTTATTTTTGACTGGTTGTTGGCTTGTGAAAAAAAAAAATAATAATAATTTAAAAGGAGTCCAAAAGCTACATATGCTTGTTCTGGATTCAATGTTTAAGCAATACTATTATTAAACACTTATTTTAATAAGTAAAAAGTTTAACATTACATATCTCGAAAGAAGAGAAAACATGCAGATGTTGTTGAAATTTTTCAATAAATATTTAGTTTGGCCACAACTTAGTGCCAGTTTTTAATTTTGGCCCTCTGTGAACGTTGAGTTTGACACTCCTGTTTTACAGTATGTCATTACATGTATTCATCTTGTATTTAATTCCTATAAAACATATATAGCACCACGACAGGGATTGCCTCTCCACTGATCTGAGCTGTAACTTGGGCTGCTTCTCCTGCATGACTCCATGGGGGCAGCATACGTTTTTAAACAGGAAATTGAATAACATCTCCATGGAGACAGTGACCCTTCACCAGAAAAGTCCCATTCTGCAACTTTAAAATCCACTTTTATGTCACATTGTTGGCATTATGTGTGTTAGAAGTTACCTCAGCCCTATGTTCCCTCATTTCTAAGATTTTACATTTTTATTTTTATACCACAAGGGAATGATTCAGAGTCATTTCAACCTAGAGTCCATTGCACCATGACCTCTACATTACATCTGTAGTCAAATGCTGCTGAATCATAGGTTGGGTGTGACTGATTACCAAACTGGGAAAAACTGGGATGAAATCTGATGCAAATTGATGATTAAAGGAAACGTGGGAACATATGGCCTACACTGGGAAAGGGGGGGGGGGGGGGGAAAGCTTAGAAATGAGGGAACATAAGGCTGTGTGGACATAGGCACGCTCCCATAATCTTACCGTGCAAAAAGCGTAAACTTTCTGCTGACAGCCGGCAGCGTCCTGTTGAGCCCCAGCACTCTGTCCAGGTGAAAAGCGAACACCTCGGTATTGTCCACGGGGCTGCGGATGATCCCACACCGGCCCACGCACACGCTACTATCCCACTCTCCGCGCTTTGGAGACACGGGAGACTCTCTCATCTCCCCCTCGAATATCAGAACAGATTGTGCGTCTCCGTGCGTGACTTTTCCGACGCCTAAAACTTTGGCACCGGCTAGAAAGCGCATGGCTTGGACATCCGTTGACGTGAACCATGGCGGGGGCTTTTGGCTGTAGATCCGAATAGTGCTCACGCTGCTATAATCATTGTTTGTGTCATATTTACCAGGGATATCCACGTGTTTGTAATCCAGCTTCTTTATATCGCTCCAGGGAGTGTGTAGCGCAATGGTTTGGTTCGCGTCACGCTCCGAAGAATCACCCCGGCCGTGCGTAAAAGCAAACGTGCCAGTCTTGTGCGTCTTCGTCTTTCTCCTCAGCTTCGGCCTGACAGTTCCTCGTATGTTAGCGGGCTTCAGACGCTTCGATTTCAGTGTTATGTACACCACGTTGGGCCGGGTCGGAGCCACGGCAGCGACGGGAATCGATTCACTGTTTCCCGCATGATACAATCCACGCGAATGTCCACTCTTGTCGTCATCGTGCGCCGTCGTTCTGTCCTGCGACGAACTTCCGAAGTGCGAAGTCACGAAAATGAGATAAACCGCACAAACGCTCGCGATAATTAAAGTTTTCTTCAATAAGGGGCTCCTGCGGAAAGTTTTGGTCAGTTTGGTTAAAGGGAAGCGCCGCCACGTAGAGCGACACTTCCCCATTTAGAACCTATCTGGCTTTCATTGGGAGAAGTTTTAGCCCAAACTTAGCAGGGAGGAGCGCAGACAACTTCCCGAGCGCATTTTGGCAGGACGGGCCGGATGAGACATCTGTTCAGAGGGGGTCAGCTGGGAAACCCCCTCCTACCCACCATGAAGGAATTTCACGTATGGAGTTCCCACGCGCGGATTAAGCAACTGCCCACTGCTTTATTATTAGCCAACTATTAGGTCAGTTTTAACATTAGTTTATTTCCTTTATCCCTGGTGAGTTGACAACACTTGGGATTAACATTTGTCTTTATATATTGCAAAATGGTGGATGTGGAAGCTGTTTTCACCATTTGTATCTTAATTATTGAGAGATAGATATAGATATTACTCAGTTGCAGTTACTTGACAACACATAAGAAATTGTACTTGTACCTGAGTATTTTTCTAGCAGCATACTTTTACTCCTACAACCTACTCCTGAGTAATATATATTTATTTATTAAAGTAACAGTACTCTGATTTGAGTAAAAGGACAGCGTTTTGGTGACTCTTCCCACTGTGAGCAAGTCTGCAAATGGCAAAACCTTTATGACATTATGAAATTATTTGAACATTTGTGTTTCTTGCGTCGCTCCTTCAGATTCTAGGTAGTTTTTCTCATTGTAGTATCTTTCCTTTAAAAATACAACATGTGCGTGCTTCTAATGTTACTTGAGTTATACATTTCCCAAATACTTTTTTTTACTTTTATTTGAGTAGTTTCTTGGACCTCTACTTTGTATCTCTCCTTTAGATATAATGTTGTTTTTCTCATTTAAGTATCTTTCCTTTGAAATTACAAGTTTTTTGCAGATTTAATGTTTTGTTTTTCCAATTACACTACCTTTAAGTTATAAATAAGATGCTACACCAACAGTTACTACTTCAGACTCGTCGTACTTTTCCCAAATACTGTTTTACTGTTACTTGAGTAGTTTCTCAGACCACTACTTTGTACTTCTACTTCAGTAATATTATGTTTAATTATCTTTAACTTTAGTAACTCACATTACTTTATGACCAACTTTTTGGCAACTCTACCCACCTCTGATTATTGAGAATACTTTTTGCAATCAGTTGTCTTAATTTCCAGAGGTGGGTACCCAAACGTTTTACTCAAGTAAGAGTACCGTTACTTACCGTTATTTTAATTGTGCCTGAACTAAAATGTACTGATTTGAAATATTTTAAAGTAACTATTGGTGTTGATGTATTGTCTGGAAAAAGGAAAAGGGAGCAGATAACATAAGGTGACTCTTCTTTCTGCTCCTTTTTATTCATTTCTTGTGTGTTTGATGTTGTGACACTGTTGATGTATTTTTATACTTTATAAATGAAATAAACAAACAGACAATACTTCAAAAATTACTCAAGTAGAAGCACATAGTAATGGTTCAAGAAATTACCGGTGACAGTAAAATGTATTTGAAGAAATTACTCAAAACTAATCGTAAGAATAACAGTTTGAATGTGACATGATTTATACTTTAAATTTAAAGTAATTCTGAGGACAAATGACTCACAGAATTTGGTATTTTCCAGAAAGGAGTGATGGAAGGAAGCCAAAAAGATTTAATAAACTTAGACAAACTTTATAAATGCACCAGGGAAATTACTTTGACACAGTAGCTCATAAATTATAACAACAAAGAATAATAAATAATGGTCATAAAAATCAAATGAATGAAAGCAGCAAAAATATCCAGATACACATTTATTCCAGAAAGAGTAATGTCACAGTGTGAAATATTATTCAAGTTGGAGTGAAAGTATGGTGTCAGAGAACTATTCTGTGTACACTTAATAAGGTACTTACATAAAAGTACTTGATTAAATGGAAAAGAGTACTACCCATCCATGTTTATTTCCTTATTTATTTTTTATTAGACACTCAAGGTTTGGGGTTTTGACCTTTACTTTAATAACTGGGTCATCTTTGTGATTCTGATGACACCTGCTGGCCATTACTTTAACCCATGCAAATGTTGAGACCTGACAAACAAGTAAAATGCACAAAAGGTAGCCATGGATGTGTTAAAATGATATAATTAAAAGTGGTTTTGGTGGTAAGGTTGTGCAGTCTTCATGGTACAGGAAACAGCTCAGTGCAAGCAGCCAGAGGACATCCTGCTTTAAAGAGTATGATACCAAAATAACCCGTCTCCTATTGTGTTTTGAAATGCCAACGTGTCATTTTTCATTCTTAATATAGTCAGAGTCCAGTCTAGTGCAGACAATGGACATACAGGACATTCATGCATGCTTTATTTATTTATTTATTTTATTTTATTTATTTTTTTGGCGTAAGGTGGGAGGTTTTATTCTGTGACTTCATACTTGTCACATGTCAGATATTACGTGAGTTTAAGATGTCAAAATCCTCGCCTGGATCGTCCACGAGAGCAGGCGGCTACACCAGAGGGAAGGAAGAAAAGGCTCAGATCAATTTGGTCACTCCACAAGTCTAAGAACAACCAGGTGTTCCTGGTGACAGGACAGATCTCAGCTTTATTTAAAGTGTTGCACTCCATAAAATAGCATCAAACTTTGTCAATGCATTCTCCTATTTCATGCTTTGGCAGGATGAAAATAACTTTTACTTTTATTGTGCATCACCTGGGCCCTTTTCTGTCTCTTTCTTACATCTGTGTTGATATAAAAGTGGAGAGATATGAGATGAAGAAAGAGTCAGGAAGGACACTCCAGAGGAGCGGGGCATCACGTTTCATCAAAACAGATCAGGTCCAATGAGCCGTGAGTGCATGTGTTTGACAGTACTGCATTTCCCATCATACATTTGCTTTGTAGTCCATGAAGTGAAGACGAGTGAAGGTGCCTTCACCCGCCTTCGCCCGCTTTCACTTGCCTTCACTCAACTTGTCAGGCGCCTGCAGCTTGTCAGGGGCCCATCTTAAACACACCTGCTATCCTTTTTTCTTTTTAACTTTTTTTTTGCTCATTACTTTTTTACTTAAAGAAGTAGTTTATAAAGTGGGGCAACAGTAGCTCAGTTGTAAGAATATTTGTCCTTTGATCCAAAGGTTGGTGGTTCGAATTCCGCTCATGACACAAACATCATTGGTTGAGCTGGTGTGATTCATTGACCCACAGGTTGGCTGATGCAATTCCAGCTCCCACAGATGAATGCTGTCGTCCTGTGCTGTGTCCTTGTGCAAGACACTTCACCCACCTGCCCCTAGTGTGTGCGTACACTGGTGTGTGTGTGAGTGTGTGTGTGGTTCCTTGGTGTAAAGCTCTTTGATGAATGCCTGAAGGTGGAAAAGCGCTTTATAAAAATGTGACCATTTACCATTTTAAAGTATTTGGCAAAGTGGAGTACTGAGTAACATTTTGGACATAAAATGTATTTAAAATCTGATTTATGAGTTAAAGTTTTCGGACATATTTTGGAAAAATAACAGACAAATATTACAAAACAATCTTGTCTGAATGTAAGGTGTTAGAAGCGAAAGGTTCAAATCTTTAAACTGTGTGGAATTCAATTTGTCACTATAAAAGTGAAGAGTAACCAAAAATATTTACTCAGAGAGGCTTTAAGTACCACTTCTTCAGACAAAATATTACTGAAACTGGAGTATATGTATGATGTCAGAAATCTATTCCGAAAGTTTCTTTAAAATAATTTCTTCAAAAAATTACTCAACTAAATGCAAGAGAGTAATATGAGTAATATAATAATAATACTAGAAAAGCACTCAGAGAGCGCAGACCTCCGCCAAGGACTACCCCCATTTTTTATATAAATTGCGATAAAATCAGTCTTCTGGATCAGATCCGGATCAGCCTTTGGAATATGAAAGCGGATCCCATTGTCCATCCCTGAGTCAAATTTCATGGGGTTTGGTCAATAATTAACCGAGATATTGAGAAACAAAATTTTTGGCCCCATTTACCACAATGTTAACTAAAATTTCAAAGTGATCCAGAATCCAGGATTTCTTCTGGATCACCCCCAAAATGAAATTAGTTCTTCCTTTTCACATTTCCAACAAATCCTGAAAATTTCATCAAAATCGGTCCATAACTTTTTGAGTTATGTTGCTAACAGACAAACAAACAAACAAACAAACAAACAAACAGACAAACAGACAAATGCCGGCAAAAACATAACCTCCTTGGCGGAGGTAATAATAAAAAAACACATCTTAACATTTCAACATGTGTCAGAACTGTATAACTGAACTGAACAGAACTGAATAAAAAAAATAAATAAATAAAATTAAAATTGAGAATCACTCGACGGTCATGACCCTGTCTTTGGGGAAACAATGCTGTGAGCTATAGTTCTATAGTTTCTGCTCAGAACAGTGAGTCACAAACATATACAGCCCACTCTAGTGTGTACTCAGCATCCCACCAGAGCACATGAACACACACAAGGTCAGGACAATGAGAGAAAACTCCCTGCACTGGTACATCAAAGCAGAGTACTTTTCCTCCATCTGCGCTTGTAGAGGAAAAGAGTCCAATTTCCACAGGTTACACAATCACGCAGTACACCGGTTCAGTAGTAGAGCAGGCCCCCAATTACACACAACAAACACACACTCACACACACTGTCTGATTATCCATTGGCTCCACCTGTCTCCTGCTGTGGACTGGGACCTGCTTCATGACCTCTTTTCCTGCTCAATATCTCCATGAATTATGAAATACAGCATGGAAACTGCACAATGTTATTTTTTACTTCTTCACTGACAAGTTGTGTACTACATTTGTGAATTTGCATCCTCGGCTAAAACGTCCAAAAAGGTGGGTAAGATAACTTAAATTATTTGGCCTCCCTATCAGCTATCATAAAGTACAAGTTACAGACACTATTTTGAAAAAAATTATGTGTTATTTGTTGAAGTTCATCATTTATCATGGGCTTTAAAATATGTAATAGTAATATATATTATTTCATCAATACTTGGTACTGCATAAAGTGTTACATGCCTAAAAAATACTTTTAATATTACTTGGGTTAATTGAGCTTGACAATTTTGAAGTACCACTAGTAGCGTAGTGTTTGTTTTCAACCTTGTCCAATCACTTAAAGGGACCCAGAGTACTTCACAAGATTTTGAAGATGATTGTACTTCATTTTCACAAGAGCCTAATTTAAAGGTGTATTGAGTAAGTTTCTGGTGGAGGGTCTGTCTAATGCTTTTCTCCATGGAGTTGTCATTGCTTTGCGTGCAAAGCAAGGCAAGTTTATTTGTATAGCACAATTCAAAGTGCTTTACAGAATAAGAAATACATTAAAATTATAATAAAAACAAATCAAAACACAAATAATCATGAAGATTAAAATTTAAAAAAGAGACATAAATTGGAGAGAAGAGTGCGTAATGAAAACCTTTCAGTTATATGCACAGTTAAACAGAAATGTTTTGAGCCTGGATTTAAACAGCGTCACAGAAGAGTCTGTCTCACATGTTCAGGAAGACTGTTCCAGGTTTTAGCTGCATGAACCTGAAACGCTGACTCCCCTTGTTTAGTCGTGACTCTGGGCACCAGCACGAGGCCGGTCCCTGAGGTGCAATGTTTCACAGTTTGGTATTAAACCTTTCTGTCATCTTGGAGACCAAACCAGACCAAGTGACAGTATTTCTGAGCTGTAAAACAAGCTGTAATTTAATAAATGTAAAGTAGAGCCATTTAATGCCATACTGTGGAACATCCATAGCCTGATTCATCAGTCAGATTCACTTCGTAGAAACTGTCTGATCTCGCAGCATTAGGATTCGCTCGCTCAACAGTAGGCGAGTACTTTTTTTGTTCAACCATTCGCTGCTATTTGGTCCCATAGGAAGAAGGGCAATAAAGTCTTTCCCCTTGATAAAATTCACCAAATATTCTCTTTGTTCCGGCTTTAAATCTTCAATTTCAGGAATCATTGCACAGAATGTATGGCTTCGCCTACATCCATCTCGACCGCTTTGTTTACTGTTGTGCTGTACCATAAAAGTGACCCAGACAGGCGTTTGAGTTTGATGTCATGGCTTCACAGCTCTTCACTGATTGGCCAACGTGCAGTCTACAACTTCTGTGGTTCTTGCTAATCGTCTAGTGTATTCCAATTCCTGTTGCTGGAGAGAAATGAAATTGAGCAGAGGCACTAGGTGGTAGAACATTCCAGGCAGAGGCAAAATATGAATTGTTTTGCAAATTTTCCAAAACAAAATGCAATATGTGTACTTGTGTACATTTTATAGATCTAACAGAAGGAAGCTTGATGATTGGGTTGGGATTTTCTTGGGTTATAGAAAAGGCCTCAAATTAATTTATCTAAATTTAAGCCTTAATTTTTTTTTTTTGTGGTGTGTTTTTTTTTGTTTTTGTTTGTTTGTTGTTGTTTTTTTCAGAAATAATGGAATACGCATTCAACTCTACAAATGTCACTCACTTTGTTTATGGAGTTTCAGCTAACGTTGTTGCAGTGCTGTTGTATGGAACCAACTATGTCCCTGTGAAGAGAATAGAAATGGGAGACGGTAAGAGTTTTCATTGCTGTTTTATTTTATATTTACTATTTCAGCGTCAAGTCTAAAATACTTTACTTTTTAGGGATGTTTTTTCATTGGGTTTCTTGCTCTGCCATATGGCTAGTCTCTTTGATTGGAGATTTGATGCTTCAGTCGCCAAAGTTCTACCCGCTGGCGATGCTTGGAGGAGTCATCTGGGCCACAGGTAAGCACCTCATCTGAGGCTGTGGTTTTTGAAAATATATCATTATCAGTCTGTTGCCACATCTAGATTTAAATTAAAACATCCCATCTGCTCAGTGTTGAGATCTTAAAAGTGAGTATGACATTTTTATATTTTTTTTAAAATTATGACTTCATTTGGTGGAATAAAACATGCTGTTTATCATAATAAATATGAAGCGAAGAGGCAGTAAAGAGATGGGGGGGGGGGGGGGGGGGGGGGGGGGGGGGGAAGAAACTGGAGGTAGCACAGAGTTCTAAAAAAGGAATTCTTCTGTCTTTGTGGCCATACCAGCTTGACAAAGCTTTGGATGGGAGACCACCGGGAAAATTAGGTGCCACAGTGGGATGTCAGTACCAAAAACTGTTGTTGTGCAAGATACTTCATCCACCTTGCCTAATATGAATGTGTGTGAGTGTTGGTGGTGATTGGCGCAGATTGACAGCCTCACTTCCATCAGTTCCTAGGGCAGCTGTGGTTAGAGTAGTGGCTTACCAACACAAAGTGTGGTGTAAGTGAATAAGTGGAGTTACTCTGCCTTCTGTTATCCTTCCAAATTGGTTTTCCGAGGAAGTTGCTTGGCGACACACGTGACACACCCCTTTTCCTGAAATGGCGCAACTCAGGCCTCGGTGGCGGAAAAAGTAGACCAAGCAATATGAACTGTTTTCATTTTGTTTGGACACTTCGGTGGTTTAAATGACAATTTCAGTCACTCTTATTACTGCAATACCTTACTGTGTCCGTATCACTGCCTATGGGTATGATAGTCAGTGTTGTGGTGAGACCAATATTGAACAAATACTTGATTTAATGGCCGTCCGACATGCAAAACATAATAATACGCTTCAAGCTCGGACGTGACGTCAAATCTAAGGTCACCCTGTGTCTCTCGTCCATCCTTCTGTCAGAAAACAATCTTTAAGGAAAGGGGCCTCTGAAAGTCCCCACCCAGAGTCTCCTCCCAGCCATTGCATTTATTCACTGTCAGTAAATATCTTATGATATTCCATTGTTGTGGCGTGGTCCTTGCTAGTGAATGCACTGTAAAGCACTTCGAGTGTCCTGAAGAGCACTATATAAATCTAATGTATTGTCCATTCAAAATGCAGGGGCAATTAATGCACATAAATATGAATTTAACCAAATAAGTTGTTAATCTGTCAGCTATTGTGTAAATTAGATGGGTTTCATTGCTGTAGTCTTTTAATTAAAAGATGGTCCTTGATGAATGTCCAAAAAATTGCATTTTTGTAATTTACTGGAGAAACCACATACTATAACTTGCAAAGCCTTGATTCTCATTTTGCTAACTCTCCATGTACTTGTTGTTGTTCTCAGGCAACATAGCAGCAGTTTCCATTTTGAAAACTGTAGGTTTTGGCCTTGGGATCATTATTTGGGGAACCTCCAGTCTGCTGATGGCCTGGGCCAGTTCAAGGTCAGCAGAACATTGTAACATTGAATAAAAAACATGTGGAATAAATAGGCATCTCAGACTCAGTCATGTTGCAGGTTTGGCTGGTTCGGCATTGCTGCTTCACCAGTGTCAAGGCCTGTGCTGAATTACAGCGGTGCTGGAATGTGTCTGCTCAGGTGAGGCATAGAAAAATGTTTGTGAATACAAAAAAGTGCTATTATAGAATAGGTAGTGATCTGTGTATGAGTCTAAATTCTGCACATTATCTATCTGGAACAACTCTCCCTGAAGGTAGCCAGGTCCACAGGGATGTTTGAATTCCCCTGTCTATTTTGTTGAAGTGCTAGATTGAAGTGACAGGTAAGCACAAGACATCTTTCCCTTCCACAAATGCACAAAGCTTTGCCTTCTATACATTTTTCACAAACAAATCAGTCAGTTTTTGTTTTGTTTTGTCTTTTTCATTTAAATAGGCCAGAACATGTCTGTTGGCGTTGCCATTTGTTTTGGTTTCTTTGGGAGCTTGGCCTTGGCCCCAAACCACAATGATGCTCTGTGAATGGTCTAGTCTCCGACGCTCTAGGATTGCCAATGAGAGGGTCTCATGAGTTTGTGAACTGACAAATATCGTGAGAATACATCTTGCTGTGAAAGGTTAAGTGAAAAAATTATAAACATCTAGACCCAAAAATGGTCAGGCAATGGTTCCCAAAGGGCTCCCAAGTTCTCAGAAGCACACCGAGTAAACTGAGCTCAGCTGCACAAACATTTCCACCGCACATCTCAGTCAAAGGTCTCAGTGTATCTTAACAGGAGGACTGGTCAGGTAGGGTCCGCAGATCCTCTCTGAGTAGAGTAAGTTGTCAAGTTTCAAAGTGTCCCCCGTGTCCTGCTGCCTGGACATCACACAACCAGCCTCTAGGGGGAGCCACGCAAACTCTAGAGACGCAACACAAAAGCTCTTTTTCTTAGCTTCACTCTTATTCTGCTTCAGTTGGTGATGAGCATACAGTCATTCATTTTATTTTTCCATGTAAATCGAGGTAGAAATCATTTTTATTCAGGAGTACTGTTGTGGGATCTTCAGATGGACAAGGCACTGCAGAGTTCGAGAAAGGTTGATGTAGAAATACTGCATAAGGTTAATCTGTACTGATCATAAGTCATTTTGTATGGCCCTCATGTGCCTCTATTTGTATTTTAGAGGTCGAGGGATGGTGTTAGTGGAGTATCTTCCCCCAGATCTGCACCAGACTATTATCCACATTGGATTTCTTAGATTAGCTCACCTTCTCCAGTGAGAGGCTACAGTGTACTCAGAATATATTGGTGTTCCTTTTAAATCTTTTTTACTCACTATGTTTGCATGCACAGAGAACTCAGAGTGCACTACACAACCAAATTAATTACTTTTGACCACTGCCTTTTACTTTTCCCAGTGTACAGCAGGTCAAAGACACAAATGGGTGTGAACGGGGGGACTAATGCTAATTCAAATGACCATCATAACCACACTTTTGTATTTTTATGTTATTTGATTTTCAGACATGTGTAGAACTATGCTACACACAAACCTCTCCTCCACACAAATAAACACATTGCAGCTACAGTAGATTTCACTTTCACTTTATCATAGCAGACCAAAACACAACATGTGCTGCTCTGCTGTAGAGGGAGTGTGGTTTATCAGCTGGTGTTTGCCTCATGTAATGGACTGCACCGTCACGTGCAACAGTTATCCAAGTTCATATCTGCTTCTACAGATGTGTTATTGGGATTTTGGAGGTTTGAACTACAACATCTAAATCACAGGTCATTCATTCCTGGGTTGATATTCATGTTGATAAATCGATTTAAGTTGGACTAGGCCAGTTATGCGGTTTACCTGGCCGTACAAATCCCGCTCTTGACATAAACATCATTGGTTGAGTGGTCAAGTCCACTGACCCACAGGGCGCTGGTGTGATTCCAGCTCTCACAGATTGCTGTCATTGTGTCCTTGGGCAAGACACTTAACCCATGTGTGAATGGGTGAGTGGTTCCTTGTTGTAAAGTGCTTTGGAATGCCTTGACAGTGCAAAAGTGCTGTATAAAATGTGATCATTTACCATAGTGACTGTTAGAATATAGTATAATACAACTGAAAGTGTTTGTGCTCCCAGTGTGCTGATCTTGTTCTTTGTGAAAACCGACGCACAGCTGCATCCTCCACCTGAATCTACCCCCCTGCTGTTCGACAGGGTGAGTGTGACTCTTCAAAACTCACTCGCTGGCTTACCATGCTTTATGAGGAAATTACATTGACTTGCATCAGTTTCTTGAAGACTGATTCTATCTGAACCCGCAGTCACTGTTTGTCCAGCCTTAAAGTACACATAGCAGGTTGGACTACTCTTCTATTGAACTTGTGAATGTAGCACTGCAGTGCAGTCCAGTGGTACTGCACACAGTGATAGGTTGCTCAGGTTGTTAAGGTTATCAATGAATAAGCAGCACTGAAGAGACATTTTCACTCAGTATCTGACCTGAGATGTGATTGAAGTTTTTATAGTAATCCTTAAGGTTAAAGTGAGAGAATGACCAGGCTGGTGTTTTACACCGCTGTTAATCTGTTTAGGGCAGTCCACTGAAGAGACTGTAGTCACTGCAAGGCTGTGATTGCAATTACCAGAGCTTTCTCTGCTCAATCTCCTTTCCTATTGCATCAGCCCAGAGCTGGCTTCAGTGTGCCACTTTTTTATCACTTCACAATGTTAGATGCGAGTCACTGCTTTGGTTGTGAAATGTAAAACTTTTCTGAGTCACAAAAACTTTGTTAAAACACTTACCATTTCATGTATATATATTTATTTATTTTTTTTTTTAAAGCTTTAAAGAACGCTATTAGTTTGTGCTTGACTCTGTGAATGTGTGCTCTTGCAGAGAACAAACTCTGGCAGCTTTGGCCCTCCCTGCCCAGAGTTCTGGATGGACTCTATCGGCCCAAAGAGCAGACGCTTCATGTAAGGATGACTCATGCACATATTCAGGGAACAGCAACAACATAAGCAATTGAAACAAGCCTCAGGCTTTTAACATTGCCTTTAGCCATCCCTGAGACTAATGAGATTTTTTTATTTTTTATTTTTTTGTAAAACTACATACATAAATGCTCAGCGGCTGCCTGCTCGCAGTGTTATCAGGCCTGCTGTATGGATCTTCACTGGTCCCCATCCTCTACATTAAGAGCCATTCATCTTGTCATGACAGCATATTCCATGGAGCCAGTGTGTACGGTGAGTTTTCTGTTGATTACCCAGAGCTTAAAGGGTCTTTGTATCCCTCTGGTAAATATCATCAGTATGCTTCAAATAAAATCATTACTTTCTTTATATAGAGCTCTTGAATGTGATGACTGGAGGATTATTTGTTTATAGATCTAGACTATATTTATGCTCAGTGTTCTGGTATCTTCCTGGCAAGTACAGTATACTTTGCCATCTACTGCGCTGCCCGAAGTAACCGGCCCAGAGTGTACTCCAGAGCGATTCTCCCAGGTGAGCACACGGCCACACTGTAGACAGGATCTCTCTCTGGTCTTAATGAATTGCCTGTGTACATATGCTAATCATGAGTCCAAAAGCCAAAGTGCACTCAAACAAATCACTGATGATGAATATATGTTTTTGTCCATGGCCTCTGAAAGCAGCAGCGTGTTGACATGTGACAGTGACATGTGGTATTTGTGTCTAAAGGCCATACAGGTGTCAAGACTGAGCATCTCTTCTGTCTGTGTGTCTGGCTGTTTCATGGACAGGATAAGTACCGCTGTCACATCCCAGGTGTACTTTGTGTGCTCTGCAGGTCTATTGTCCGGCCTCATGTGGACATTAGCCACATACAGCTGGTCCCTGGCCAATCACTACCTGAGCCCAGCCAATACCTTCCCCATTGTCAACACTGTAAGTACTGTACATAATGGTTTGACAACTCAATGGGCTATATCAGCAAAACAAAAAAGTTATAAATCCACCCATTTAGGTTGGAGTCTAAAACCTCTTGATAACTGGAAACATTTCCTTATCATTTACACTGCAGATCGTCTCCTCTGTTCACAGGGATATGGTCTGGTGGCTGCTCTCTGGGGATCGCTCGTGTTCAAGGAGATTAAGGTAAAACAAATGCTTAGATTATCAGTCCTGTTTAACATGGCTAGTCACACACACCAATTCTGAAACACAAAGAATGTAAACTAATACTGAATTCCAAAACCCTAAAATAAATAAAAAAAGATTATGGAAAGGGTTGTGTCATAGGAATTCACTGTTCTGGTTTTATTTTGTGACTGTGCACATGTGATGTACAGATGTTCATGTTTTTCTAATTACTAAGTGGTTTGGTGCAATAAGGCGACAGTAGCTCAGTTGAGTGTTTGTCCATTGATTCGAAGGCTGGCAATTTGAATCCCGCTCTTGACATAAACATTGTTGGTTGCAATTCCAGCTCCCACAGATGAATACTGTCATTGTGCTCTTGGACAAGACACTAAACCCGCACTTAACCCACCCCCAGTGTCTGTGTACACTGGTGTATGAATGTGTGTGAATGGGTGAGTCGTTCCTTGATGTAAACCGCTATATAAACATATGATCATTTACCAATAGAATCTGTAAGTATCAGAGTTTCAAGTGGCAGATTGTGGAAAAAAGTAAAGGTTAAAAAATACAGAAAGTAGTACCTATACCCTAGCCTAATTCATCAGCTGGTTTCACTTGAAACCGTCTGACCTCACAGTGTTAGAATTCATTCGCTCGCAGTAGGCGGGTACTTTTTAATCATTTAATCAATCCCTGCTATTTGGTTGTGAAGTATGTAATGCACCGCTAACAGGACTCACTGGTATATTAAGCTTTTCCCAAATCCTGTAGGAAGAAAGGGCAATAACGTCTTTGCCCTTGATAAAATTCACCAAACATTCTCTTTGTTCTGGCTTTAAATCCTCAATCTCGGGAATCGTTGACGAAACTGAATATAGCACTCTTCACTGATTGGCTGGTGCCCGAACTTGCACTTCCAAGGTTTTCGCGAACCGTCTAGTGTATTCTGATTCCTGACCTAGTTGCTGGAGAGAAATCAAACTGAGGCACTAGGTGGCGCCAGCCTGGCTACCTGTACCCATGGCTGGTCCAAATGTTCACACTATTCAAGGGTCACACAGTTTTTAGTACCATCTCAGTGTCCAGTGTCCAGTGAAGCAGTGAACTAAAAATCTCCCATAATGCACCCTGAGAAGTAGCGCCCAGTGCTGGTCAATAGAGCGGTCAGTATCTTGGTGCATTGCCCTGGCCCGTGATTATGAATAAACCACTCTTAAATAAACCGTTGCTGTGAAATGCTGCTAGAATGCTGCTAGTCGCTTACTGTAACATGAGCAGTTAAAAGAGCAATGATTTCCACAAACCAATCAATTTACATGAGATTTACAGACTTTACAAACAAGTGTATGATTATTATTAATCCATAAATACTTGTGTGCCAAATTTGATAATTTATTGCAAATCAATATTTAGTGTGACCTGAAATTATTGAGCGGAGTGTCCAAAACGTTCTGTGAATGAGGGCACTAAATAGTCCGCTTAATAGCACTGGGTTATGTAGTGTTTGAGACTTCAGGGGTTAGGGTGGATATTTGAACACATTTTATGTCATCATCAACACCGAAACATCAATTGTCAGTCATTTACACACAAGGAAGATGTTTTTCAGACATTTTTGTAACATAAAGGTATTTTAATTATCGATAAACTAATCATGGTTATTGAACAGTTCAGCCATGTCATTATAGCCTTATGGTTGCGAGGAAACAGTTATGGCTTTACATCTACTGTATGTTCCAGCTGGAATTAAAGCTGAAAATTAAAGTGTGGACAGCCCACCTCTGTCCCATCAGTGAGGCATGGTCCTACCCTTTCCTTTATATCCGCTGTAGTGTTTTATATTTGGATGCCTCTTGTTTCTTTCCTGAAGTTATTTTTTGACTTGTTGTTCAAGGCCACAATATCTGTGTGTTTTAAATGAATATTTTGTGCAAATATGAAAAAAAAAAAAGATTTTCCATGTCTTGTCTTGACCCAGTACAGATATTGTGTGGAAGCAGCTCTTGAGGTCAAAAGAAGTCTGCTGTGTACTGTCTGTATCTATTTAGAAACTCTATCAAATTTGTGAAATGTGCTTATGAACTCATCAAGGTGAATAATTAGGATGCTCAGAATGTCGGTGAGGAATAACTTTGTACCACTGCAAACTATTTGAAATGAACTAGTTCTGTTTTTCCCAGATTTAAGGCAGTAAAAAATTGGTATGTAGATTTTTAAAGTACTTGGTTGAATGTAGTTAATCATGTGTTTCTTTCCTTCAGGACTTTGCCAACTGCCTCACCTTCTGTTTTGGAGCGTCTCTTTTAACTGCAGGATCTTTGCTTACTACTTTGTCAAACCTCTAATCTTAAATAAAGCATTCAGACATTTGGCATCTTGTTTTTAACACATTTGAGACTTAAGTCTTACCAGTGTTTTTATCAATAGTGTTAACTTCCTCTTCAGGTCATCGTAGTCAGAAAACACTAGTAAGATTTTGAATAGATATAGCTTGTTGTAATGCTGATCTTTTCTTTCCGTTTCAAAAACATTGGAAATGATAGCCAAGTTATTAGTTAGAATTTGGTTGTTTTGGTTCTCAAGATGATTATCAGTGATTATCAGAGTTTCAGTGCTGAAATCCAGCTGGTTTAAACCTAAAACGCCTCTGATCTGAATGGTCACTACCTAAACCCTAGTGCTAGTGCAGCCTCTGCAGCCCAGTCAGGGAATATCGGAGGTTCTGAGCTTTCACATGAGGCATGGCCTGTCCATACACTAATGAAAAACAAGACATCTTGTAGTCTATGTGTCTCTATATACAGTGTTAAGGCTCTGTGGTCCACAGGAGACATACAGTTCCTTTTAAAATTATCCAGGAATCAGTGGCTGTAGTGGGTCTTATCCTGTGGATTGCATATGTTCTAGCAAATGTTAAATCTCAAGTTACCATGGTAACCGTTAAGTATATGCAAATGCAGCTAAACTCTGTGGTGCCTGATAACCTCTTAAGATCTTATGTATAGGTATATAACATGCACATTGCTTGTGCAAATGATGGAAACACTCCTGTTCTCTCTGCAGATATGGCATTTCTGTGCACTCAAAGGAATACGCAAACAGCTACACTGTTGAAAAAATTTAAGGAGCACTTTGAAAACACATCAGATCTCAATGTAAAAAATAAATAAAAAACATTGGATATACAAATATGGACAGAGCAATGTCTTAGGACCAGATGCATGCCACATTTTTTTATGGAAAATCAAAGTGAAATAATGTGGAAGGCTAGTCCATTTTGCCTAAATTGAATTTTTGCAACTCAAAATGCTTCTCAATCTGTTGTGTGGCCTTCTTGTGCATGTATGCATATTTGACATTATTCTCCTCATGAGATGACGGATGGCACCTTGTGGGATGTCCTCCCAGATCTGTGTAAGCCCATCACTGAGCTCCTGTAGAGTCTCAGGAGCAACCTGGCGGCGTCTGATTGACCCAAACATTATGTCCCGGAGGTGTTCTATCGGGTTTAAGTCAGGTGATGATGAGGGCCATTCAACTGTATCAACTCCATGCTCCATGTTCTGCCTGCAGACTCTTGCCACATGAGGCCAGACATGGTTGTGCATCAGGAGGAACTCAGGACCTACTGCACCAGCGTAGGGTCTGACAGTGGGTTCAAGGACAGTCAGGCTGGCATTTTCTACCTTTCTCTCAAGCTTTTTTTTTTTTTTTAACTTAGACTTTTTGCAGAAAAACACAAAAAAAAAAAAAAGGTTTTTTTTGGCCTGGATGAAAGACTGCTAGAGGAGGATTACAAAGAGCAGATCTTGTGCCAAATCATGCATTACATTGTGGACATGGCAACCACAAGGAATTAAATGCCTCAGAGTCATCATCAAATCACCAGTTGATAAAATATTTGAACTAAATGACCCAAACATCCTTAAGACCATTAAAGATGACATAAGGAGGTGGTCAGCCATGTCTTTGTCCTCATGTAAAAGGGTAATAATAAAGATAAAGAGGTAATAAAAAATGAACATAATGCCTCAGTTTATTTTTCTAATATCTGTCATACCACTGAAAGTGTCTCAAAAGTGATAAGTGGTAAATGAGAAAAAGAAATTGGATCCCCACTAGCAATTTTTAATATTGTAGTTTTTTCCAGACAAAAGGTGCAGTTCCTAAATGGAATGAAAATGTGTGGCGCTTAAGGAGAATTGCTTCGCTTTTGGTGCAATTTACTTTATAGCCAGTTTCCCAAAGGATTTAGTAACTGTGGAATAGAAGAGGTTGGGTTGGTTAATGTTAACAAAATACTGGCTGCATATAAGTTGGCTTTGAAATGATGTCCTCCCAGGTTAATACCCTCTATATTTTGGTTTGCCCTTTAAGCGCAAGTTAATGGTTCCACTGCCAAAATAAATAGGGCTGCGGAGACTGGGCACCCCCCTCGAGCTAAAGAGTTGAAAGAGATGGGATATAGCACCATTAGACTTACTATGTGCCACTAGTGCATGATTGAGGGCCTTTATCTGTTTCATACAGCTTGTTCCAAACCCAAACTTGGACAGTGTTTCAAATAAAAAAGGGCACTCAATTTGATCAAAGGTTTTTTAGCATCCCGTGATACAGCTGCCGCTGGATGCTAAAATGATGAAGCCTTTGACGTTACGTGAAATAGATTTGTCATATTGTTCAAGGATAAGCCCCTGGGTCAATATAAAAAGAAGGAATAACTTTTTCCAAGTTGTGGCAATAATCTTTGTAAAAATGTTGTAATCTTTATTTAGTAGGTTTAATGGTCGATAGTTTCCCATTTGCAGCAGATCCTTGCCAGGGTTTGGAATCAAAGAAATGACAGCAGAGCGCATTGTTACTAGTTAGATATTAGGTCATTGAACAGCAATGTTCGAGTATGTCCTGGAAGCTTTTAAAGATTTCTATAGATGGATTGTGGATGCACAGTGGATGCACAAAGCACTGCTGTGTGTGCAGTTAACATGAAGCTGCAACCCCAGCTAGTGTAGTCAGCATAGTAAAGCAGTTTATCACCATGTGATATAATAAGTTATGATGCTAAATTAACATTAGTGAGTGGGATATGACTTAATGACCCATATGTGTTAAATATGTCTCAAGAAAATGTCTCAAATTTCAGTAGCCAGATATCCATATCTGATTGATACAACTAGTCCCTCCCCCAAGAGAGCCTGAAATCACCTGAAATCCTACAGGATACTGGCAAGATAAGACAGGACAGCTGCTTTTTCTGAAGGAGACATGCGCAGGAGAGTGTGAAGTGATGTAGTCTGATAATCCCTCTATACCGAATCCATCCTCACCTGGAGATAAGAGGACTCTGAGAGCATATTTTACCTATGCTTCAGATCCCAATTTAAGGTCGGGAGAAAGATTTTTATTTTTTTTTTTTAATGCATTTGTGTCACTACTTTTAGTTTTGTACTTTGATTTATAAACTGCTGAATAAAATTGTCTAAAGATTTATTTCCTTTGGATCATGAATTAGAGTGCCATTTTGGTAAATGCAATGTCTATATTCAATTTGCTTTAGTTGTATTGTTAACATCTTTCCCACCTTGTTCCCATTTTTTATTTTTTTCCTTTTTAGCATAGTCGTAACAATGCAAAGGATGAATATTGGGTTCAGAGTTTAGATATTTTTTTATAAATTCTAATATGTTAACATGCAGGTGACTGGTAAAATCTTCCTTTTAAAACTGAGTTATTAATTTTCCACTGCTCACACTTGTGTTTGGTCATCACAAAAGAAAAACAGGTTGACACTGAGGCATAATCTGAGATAATAACACTCTGTATCCATGAGTCTACCACGTTCTGAAGAAGTTCTTTTGATATAAGCAGGTAATCAATTCTTGAAAAGGAGTTCTAGACTTCTGAACAGAACCTATATTCTCTTGAATAAGCTTTTAATATGTGCCAGACATTACTTAGTGCCAACGTGTTTTTAAATTCTGCAAAAGCAGCAGAGGGGACCTGGAGAAGTTGGACAATCTGTGCAACTTCTGTATGGTTAAAGGGACAGTCCAGAAATTTGGACATAGGACCTCATTTCCTAGTTAACCAGAGTGTAGGAGACGCGTGAAGACGCTTTTTTAAATATTCCATCCAGTCCTTGTATTTGCAGAGGTCGCTGGTGCTAGGCATGTCAATGACCATAGTTATCCTGCCACTAAAAACAGTCTTACCCACTCCACCAAGCACGCGAAACAAAACAATTATAACACCAGACTGTTGACGCGAATGTCTGTGTTGATAGAATAATTTTAGAAGTAAAACCAACCTTACATTTGAAGGATTTATGTCTGAGCAGCAGCAGTGAGTTGTACTTCCTGATAGAAAGCTTGGCAGCGGCGGACTGATATCACCTAGCACCTACCTTGCCGGCAAAGTAAAATTGCTGCTGCTGCTGCTGCTGCTGCTGCTGCTGCTGCTGCTGCTGCTGCTGCTGCTGCTGCTGCTGCTGCTGCTGCTGCTGCTGCTGCTGCTGCTGCTGCTGCTGCTGCTGCTGCTGCTGAGAAAATAGTCCCTCAACATGCAATGATTCATGTGATGCAAGGTTGCAAAGGTGCCATCTATTTTTTTCATAAGACATTGCCTTGTCCATATTTGTATAGATATTCAACTCTTTTTTTTTTTCTACATTGAGATCTGATGTGTTTTCAAAGTGTTCCTTTAATTTTTGAGCAGTATACAAAGTACATCATTGTATACAATGGCTGTAGATGGCATGTTTCCATCAGTGACTTATTTGTATGGAAAATTATAAAATGGCCACCACACTGTAACTTTGGTTTAGTATTGTGATATAACTGCCATAAGTAATGCCCTGTACATATGATGTAACCATACAGCACTGAGAGCTTTGATCTGAGGCTCCATATAAGAGCCTTTTCACAAAGCACTGATGTGTTTGACAGACAGATCTTTGAGAATTGTGGTGGACAAAATGTGTCCCTTGGGCTCTGAAATAAAATGATGGGAAATCCAATCCATCTGGCGCACCCATTGATGAAGACACAATCATTAAAGTGTCCATGCAGAAACCCAGGTATGACCCACATCGTGCAAATGGGTTAAAATAATGCGAAAACTGGAGTTTAAGTGGGTACTTTCTCCCAGATGGTGGCAAGAGACAGTTTTCCTTATCCTTCTACTCATTATCTTGTACTTTGTGATAAAATATCCAAAAGTTCACAAATGTTGAACCAGATCATTTCTATTAGTGCTCTGATAATCGAACTTGCGATGTTTCAACAAAGATCAACATTTGAACGTTTTAGCTGTGGCCCATTATTATTGCCTATAGAATGTTGTGAAGTCATCTGAAACTCAGCACTTGGGTTCT